TTTTTCCTTTTATCTTTTTTTTTTTTTTTTGAGACAGGGTCTCACTCTGTTGTTGGGCTGGAACACAGTGGTGTGATCAGAGCTCACTGCAGCCTCAATCTCCCTGGGCTCAGGTGATCCTCCCATCTCAGCCTCCAGAGGAACTACAACTACAGACATGTGCCACCACACATGGCTAATTTTTCTATTTTTTGTAGAGACGTGGTTTCCCCACATTGCCCAGGCTGGTCTGGAACTGCTGGGCTCAAGCAATCTACCCACCCCAGCCTGCCAAAGTGCTGGGATTACAGGTGTGAGCCACAGTACCAGAGTTCTTTTTCCTTTTAAAAAGAGGGCTTTAATTAGTATTTTTCTTCACTTCTGGAAAATGTTCTGCCATTCTCTCTTGAAATACTGCTTCTCTGCCATTCTCCTTCAGTCTCTTCATTTGGAATGCCTTTTCAACTGATATCAAAATTTCCCAGTCTATTTCCCTGTTTTTTTTGTTTTTGAGACAGAATCTTGCTCCATTGCCCAGGCTGCAGTATAATGGAACAATCAGTCACTGCAGCTTCCATCTCAGCTCAAGTGATCCTCCCACCTCAGCCTCTTAAGTAGCTGGGATTACAGGTGCATGCCATGAGGCCTAGCTAATTTTTTTGATTTTTAGTAGAGATGAGGTCTCACTATGTTGCCCACTCTGGTCTCAAATTCCTGAGCTCAAGTGATTCTCCTGCCTTGGCCTCGCATAGTGCTGGGAATATAGGCATGAGCCACTGCATCCAGCGCCCCCACCCCCTGCCAATTTTTTTTTTTTTTTGAGACAGAGTCTTGCTCTGTTGCCCAGGCTGGAGTGCAGTGGTGTGATCTTGGCTCACTGCAACCTCTGCCTTATGGGTTCAAGCAATTCTCCTGCCTCAGCCTCCCGAGTACTGGGATCACAGGCATGCCTGGCTACTTTTTGTATTTTTAGTAGAGAAAGGGTTTCACCATGTTGGCCAGGCTGGTCTTGAACTCCTGACCTCAGGTGATCCACCTGCCTCAGCCCCCTAAAGTGCTGGGATTACAGGCGTGAGCCACCATGCCTGGCCCTAAAGTCATTTTTGTATATAGAAAAATATCAAGTGACTTTAAAGAAAGATAGTTTTATTTATCCCAGCTTCCCATATCCCAAATTCTCGTAAGTTCTTGGAGAATAAAAATCGTGCCTGTGTTCTTCACAGGTATAACCCCAGTTCCTAGACTAGTGTCTCGCACATAGCAAGAATTCAATACATATTTGCAAGACTCACTCCCTCACCTTATTCAGGTTTCTGCCTAATGTCATTTTAGTAGAGGGTTTCCCTAACCATCTCATTCAAATTGAAACCCCCCGTTTCCCGAAAACTTTCTCTACCCTGGGCTGCCTGCTTTGTTTTAGCTATTACCATCTGATACACATATAACTTATTATTTACTGTCTGTATTTCCTTGCTGGAATGTAAGCCCCATTAGGATAGGGACTTTTGTTTTGGCTTACTTTTGCATATCCAGTATCTAGAACAGTGCTTATCATATACCAGGGGCTCCATAAAGATCTGTAGATTAAATGTAAAAATGAATAAAATTTCAGGTACTCTACAAAGGCTGTAGATTCAAAGATGTTCATATGCTTTATTTAGTCATTTCTTTTTCTTTCTTCTCTTTTGAGATGGAGTCTCACTCTGTTGCCCAGGCTGGAGTGCAGTGGTATGATCTCCACTCACTGCAATCTCCACCTCCTGGGTTCAAGTGATTCTCCTGCCTCAGCCTCCCGACTAGCTGGGACTACAGACGCGCGCCACAATGCCTGGCTAACTTTTTTTCTTTTTTGAGACAGTCTTGCATTGTCGCCTGGGCTAGAGTGCAATGGCACGATCTCGACTCACCGCGACCTCTGCCTCCCAGGTTCAATCAATTGTCCTGCCTCAGCCTCCCGAGTAGCTGGGACCACAGGTACATGCCACCACACCCAGCTAATTTTTATATTTTTAGTAGAGATACAGTTTCACTACGATGGCCAGGCTAGTTTTGAACTCATGACCTCGTGATTCGCCTGCCTCAGCCTCCCAAAGTGCTGGGATTACAGGTGTGAGCCACCATGCCTGGTCTAATTTTTTGTATTTTTTAGTAGAGATGGGGTTTTGCTGTGTTGGCTAGACTGGTCTCAAACTCCTGGCCTCAAGTAATCTGCCCACCTCAGCCTTCCAAAGCACTGGGATTACAGGTGTGAGCCACCATTGCCTGGTCCTATTTTTCTTTCTTTCTTTTCTTTTTTTGAGAGATGGGGACTTGCTATGTTGGCCAGGGTAGTCTTTTTTTTTTTTTGAGACGGAGTCTCACTGTGTCTCCCAGGCTGGAGTGCAGTGGCGCGATCTCGGCTCACTGCAAGCTCCGCCCCCCGGGTTCACGCCATTCTCCCGCCTCAGCCTCCCGAGTAGCTGGGACTACAGGCGCCCGCCACCTCGCCCAGCTAGTTTTTTGTATTTTTAGTAGAGACGGGGTTTCACCATGTTAGCCAGGATAGTCTCGATCTCCTGACCTTGTGATCCACCCGCCTCGGCCTCCCAAAGTGCTGGGATTACAGGCTTGAGCCACCGCGCCCGGCCAAGCCAGGGTAGTCTTGAACTCTTGGCCTCAAGCAATTCTCCTAGCTTGGCCTCCTAAAGTGCTCAGATTATAGACATGAGCCACCCTGCCCAGCCTATATGCTTTATTTAAAGCCCTAAATGTATCAATAATGAGGAATGGTAAAGAAAATTATATCAGATGCAGTAAAAAGAGAAATATACTAGTAAGCAAGAGATCTGGGTTCACATCCTGATTCATTTACTTACTAGATATATAAACTTGGGAAAGTTAAATCTGAATTAATTTCCTTATCTGTGAAATAGGACAAAATAATGCTCATTTTAAAAAGTTGTTCTAAGGGTTAAAATGCAAAAGTGACTAATAGAGTGCTATGTACTTATACATGCATATCTGAGGTTTTAAAATTTTTTAAATGTGAAGACAATGAGATAGCATGGGGAAATTACTTAAGAAAGAGTAAGTTGGCCGGGCGCAGTGGCTCAAGCCTGTAATCCCAGCACTTTGGGAGGCCCCCGGGCGCAGTGGTCCAGCCTGTAATCCCAGCACTTTTGGGAGGCGAGAACGGGCGGTCACGAGGTCAGGAATGAGACCATCCTGGTCTAAACACGGTGAACCCCGTGCCTCTACTGGAAATACACAGAAAATTATGCGGGTGACAGGTGCGGGCCAGCCTGATATCCCAGCATACTCGGGAGCGCTGAGGCATGAGAATGGCGTGAACCCGGGGGGCGGAGCTTGCAGTGAGCCGAGATCGGCGCCACTGCACTCCAGCCTGGGGCACAGAGCAGGACTACGTCTCAAAAAAAAAAAAAAAAAAAAGAAAGAGTAAGTTAGGCCCGGGCATGGGTGGCTCACACCTGTAATCCAGCACTTGGGAGGCCGAGGCAAGCGGATCACAAGGTCAGAAGATCGAGACCATCCTGGCCTAACATGAGAAACCCGTCTCTAACTAAAAATACAAAAAATTAACCAAGAAGGTGGTGGGTGCCTGTAGTCCACCTACTCGGGAGGTTGAGGTAGGAGAATGGGTGTGAAGTTGGGAAGCGGAGCTTGCAGTGAGGTGAGATCACGCCACTGTACTCCAGCCTGGGTGCCAGAGCAAGAACTCCATCTCAAAAAATATAAATAAAAATAAAAAAATAAAGAGTAAGTTAGGTCGGGGCAATGGCTCATGCCTGTAATCCCAGCACTTTGAGAGA